GGGTATACTCGAATGCATAGACCTGGTACTCGGTCCCATTATACCAGCGGTTGTTGAGGTTGGTCAGGCCAGACATAGCCTGCTGGTACGGCCCGCCCCGATAGGAATTTATCTCGGTGATACGAGGGTCGTACACGGCAGTGTAATCTGCAGGTTGTTAGAACAGGTATGACCAGGCGCATGTTGTCAGCAGCGTTAGGCACCTACCGTAGTCAGGCATGTACCAGATGTCAAATGGAGCCATTTGCAAACTCTGGGACGCGGTTCCAATGAAAGCGTTTGGATTGTTGTTCAGAGGGCCTACACTGGCCTCGATCACATCGATTTCCGGGGCGCCACGGGATTTGCCCGGGGTGGGATGATCGGCACCGTCACAAGTGCACGCCGGTAGACGCATGCCTGGAAGAAAATTAATACCATCTGGAGAACTTTGATTCGGCGTAATGCCTGCATCGCATCCGTCGTAGTAGCTGTATGGCCACGTGCCATCCGTCGTCGCAGCATAGCCCGGGCGGCCTAGGTTGCCCATCGCCCAGAACCCGGGCCAGAATCCAGATACATCTCCAGCTCCGGGCAGGGAGATACTGGCTTCCAAGCGTCCACCAGAGAAGCACAGCTTATTCCAGCTTTGCACCATTCCCGAACGGTAGCCAAGCTCATGGTTGGTAAACGCATCGAATCGGATCTCCAATGATCCATCTTTCGTCGTGACAGCATCCGGGTCATACCACTATCAAGGGGTTAGTCGCGATGCATTGGTGGAAGACGATATCAGTACTAGCCTCCAGGTCCTGCGTCACACCGTACCAGAAATCCATGGCCTGATAATAGGCGTCATCTCCATCATAAAATGTTCGGCCAGGGGTTTCGAATTCGTCAGAGAACTGCACCGGGTCAATGACTATTCACTATTGTAGCTCGCAGCATCTTCTTCCTGACTCACCACTAACTGCCATTCCCTCCCATCCACTGTCTTCTTTGTCATTGCTGATTCGGGTGTGTCAGGGTCTATCAATCCAGTCCTCAAGTTGGTGAGACCCGATCGATCCCCAACGTCAAGACACAGAGTATCGGCTGGGTCACATGTCGGCACATATTTTTTTGATATCCCGCCCAGGGCAGTTCTAATGACCAGTCAGTATGCGTCTAATTTGAGCACGGCGCTGAGACCAGCAAGTCATGGAAGACTCACATCACTGGGTAGGCGACAAATAACACTACAAAGCCCACCGTCATGAGAAGCAGCCCACCCAGATTGACCAAACCCCGCTTATTCCATACATCGCACACAATGTCCTTGTCGTTTGGATCGGGATTATGCATATAGTCATCCTTCTCAACATCCTCCGGGAACAATAATAATCCTTCTGTTGGCATTATGTTGTACTTTTCCGTCACTGTTTGAGTGTTCACGTCATCCCCTTCACTTTCTGCACGCGAGGGCGCCCGGGAATCTTCGAAACGACTGTACAGGTAAGCTCTGGCATCATAGCTGACCGCCTCTGAGCTCCAGCTCGTCCGTCGCGAGGACCGAATCGACAGTTCGGGAGACCGCAGTTCCTCTCTGGCGCGGTAGGGCCGCGGGGGTATCAAAAGCTCGGTTGATTCCTGGGGAGTGGGCGAGCCCCATGTCGTCGGGAACGTGGCTTCAGAGGCCGACTGCACCATGCCGGGGGTCAACGACCGCCCCATCTGCTGGGGCGGTACTGACACGTAGGGATCATCGGAGTCGGCGAATGGGTCATGTTGGCCCGAATTGACACGGATGTGAGGTGTCTCGCGCAAGATCGCCTCTTCGGACATCCTGCGAAATGAAGGTCCGCCTCGAGGAGACCGGACTGGACGCTTTTGTATGCTAATTCTGAAGCTCAATCGTGCTTAAGCAGATTGGGTGTCAAGGAGCGGTTACCCAGTATACCAAGATCCCTTCTAGCTTGCTATATCACACGTCCTCCACTTCGCGTCCTTTGTGTTCCACCTGGTCAGGCAGATGCCCACCCTCTGGAGACCAGGTATTTCACTGCAAGCCCAAATGTGATTGACGAGGGATGTCAACTGCTTAGTCGTAATGAGTGACAATGGAGGCGCGATAAATATCGGGTGTGCCAATGCGATAATGAATGTGAAAGTGATTGTCCGATGCCCGCCTATATCCTAGAGCCAGTGCATATAATCAACCCCGGAGCTGAGCACGAGGATCGATTGATCTGACGAATGGATTGAACTGATGCGATATTACTTGTAGCTAAGGAATTGTGGGATGAGCGACAGGAATGTAATTGGGCAGATAAAGAAAGAAGGAGCAGTGAACCGCTGAATCGCTCACAAGCCGAAGAATATCGCGGAGGCAGAAGTTGAGACAGCGAAAGAAAAGAGAAAGCACGCGAATTGGAACCCAGATGAAGATGGTGACAGAGACAGCCGTGACGCAGGGCTCAAGGAAGGGATGGGCAGCGCACGAAGTGAAGGAGGAAGAAGAAGAAAATGAAGGTGTAAAGAAAGAGAATGGGAGAATGGGAGAATGGGAGAATGGAAGAGAGATGAGGGTGTGTGGCAGCCAGAGTGTGAACAAACAATGTCAATCCCTCGAGTGGGCAAGTCGGTCCTACATGCATGGATGAACCCAAGCTTTTTCTTCCCTAAATTTCCTTGAATTTCCCCTTTTTGCACCAGAATGGAATCACCTTAATTTTCCCTGCTGGGTGACGGCGGCATTACAGCTGCAGGAGGGAGAGTAATTACAGGAGGGTTTGGAGTGCAACGACATGGCGGAATGCATTAAATCAATTTTAGAGTCCAAAATCCCCCGGTGGGATTGCCAGGTCCAGAAAGGGCGGCACCTGCATGGATGCTGCCTCGAATTGAAGTTATACTGCATCCCCTCGATCCCCGTCCGTGGCTGCGGTCTTCCTTCCAATAATGTGATGAGCTGCTGCTGCACACGACGCAGGTCCGGCCCAGTTACCGTATACACTTGCTTACGCAGTCAGTAATCAACTTCCTGATGAAAGGGCCAACTTTCCCCGGCAACCCTTTCCATGACAGATGAGATTCCTGAATGTTGGGAAAGAATCCGGTTGCCCTTGACTGGCGGGAATGACGGGCCCTGAACCATGGAATTCCCATTCTGGGCCGAAATACAAAGTTAGTCAATCCCATCTCGGGCGCATTAGTCCCGATTAGGACTAGTCAGTACCAGGATGGAACGGCCACTAGTTCTCAAATTGATAACTTACAGTAACTTGCAGTTGCGCGAACTAGATTTAGCGCCGATCATCTGGTATTGTAATTTGGTAATAAACACGTCTTGATCTCTTTCTTTCTTTTCTCTCCTTCCCGCATTCTTGCCGCCGTTGGCCATTGACGACTACATTCCATCTCTCCTGGCTGCCTGGGTTATAGTCTTCGAGGGGATATAAGATAGGCATCAAAGAATCGCCAAGTGGCCCCCTGTTCAACTGACTCCTACCCTTGATAATCCAACTTTATGATTTCCCGTTGCCAGAGAGCAACTTACGAATCTCTGCTATCGGCCCGGACGGGTGTGCTCAGCCATTGCCGATGCCGCACTATTTCCGTCAAAGGGATGTTATCCAACCTAAATCAGCTATCCTCGCTGGCTATAAGGTTGATTCTAGAATTATCAGCCTGGCTGTATAATACGTGTCGACCAGACAGAAAGTTAATCCGGCTGCTGACCACCAAACATGGGCTTCATCGTGATCCAATGGATCCTGTGTAACATACTATACTAATTGGTCTGAGGCTGTTTTATCCACAAAGCAGCCGTCTCATTGGCGATGTACCTGAGCTGCTCGGCTAGACGCTGAGATGGATATTTAGATCCAAGTTTACCACCCATCACTTATTTATAAGTAGAGGTGGAAAGATCCCCTGTATAGCGCTAGGAACCCCTGGCCTGTGCTTTGGCGGTTGTTCATCCCGCATGGACCACATTCCATTAATAGTCAACCAACTCATGTAAACTTGAGTCAGAGCTTTCAGGGTGTTTGATCAGTAGACGAGTTTGCAATTAAAATTGGCTTTATACTCGTGTGTAACCCAGACCAGCCACCAACACGTCAGCTCTGGTCAGATCTGGCACAGCCAAGTCATGTCCAAAGTCAATTAAATCATGTGCCATGGCCCTCAACTTGTCATTGAGAAAATATATTAGTTGTTAAAGTATGAGCAGAGTATTTACTGCCCTAGTACTGAGGGCGCGAATAGCCACGACTTGCAGTGCCGGGCGCTTAACTACCCATCGTTTGTGCCTTAGATGCGACCTTTAGCCCACTAAGCTATATTTCGATCGGTACTACGATATATATATGGTAACATATAGTCCTTACATAACATCATAATTTTACTACTATCTCGAATTTAACTCCGACTCTTTCAGACACAGCACAATAATAATCATGATTAGTACTAAAATTGCATGCATCCTTTACAACACGCCAGAAATAGCTGGCTAATCTAATCATTGCTAGCATCTTACTCGTTTATATCTTCTTGTCTGCATCGTACGACCACACCCCGCTACACTACTACCAACAAGACTTTTGATGAGACATCTTAAACAATTTGTGCCGGCAAGATATATTTCCCGAGTACTACACTAAATCAACAATCTCTAACCAGTATACTAGCCCTGACTAGTACATTTACTAACCCTCTCTTTATCCGGACTAAGCCCATCATACTAATTACTTTATTCCTACTGTAGAAAGCAACCGGACCTGAATAACTGCTCTCATTAACCACCTCCATAGGTAATATATACACAGTAATACATACAGCAATGGTCAACGTCTATCAGTATCTGACCCCAAGTCCACCGACAAATCCACAGCAGTCTGCATACAACATCAACCACAATCGCCAACTTTAGTCCATCAACGTGAGCTGACAAACCAACACTCTCCTTTTCAACCCCTCAACTCTCAATAAACACACCTCCCATCACATAGAACAAACCCTATGCTTTCCACTGCATATCAACCACCCCCAGAAACATATCAATCAATCAATCATCAATCACCACGCACTCACCAGCATGAACAATCACCCCTCCTCCTCCTCCTCCTCCTCCTCCTCCTCCAGCACCACCAGCACTACCATCACCCTTCACACCCTTCACACTCCCCTCTTTCCCCTCCCCCTCCTCAACCTTAACCTCCACCATCTCTTCATCCCCCACAACCGCCCACCCCAAACTCGCCACATTGGCCGCCAAAAACCCATCAAACCTCTCCACCACCCCCCTAGCACACCCATCCACCACACACCGAAACCTCCCCTTAACCCTCTCCTTCACACAAACCGCCGTACTAAGCAACTGCAACGACCTACCCACACCCAGAGGCACCCACCCACCCCTCGACGCCAAATTAAAGACCATATACCAGACATCATGGCCGCGGGGAATCGCCCTGCACGCGACGCGCCAATTCCCCATGAACCTATCAAAGCCCGGCCACGAGATCGCGCAGATATTATTGCAATCGTTGTTCAGGAGCACGGGGTGGGTGGTGCTGGGCATGCAGGGGAGGCGGGGCGGGGTGATGTAGTGCATGTTGGGGTCAGTGGCGCAGTCGAAGAAGAATAAACTGTCCCGGTTCTGGGATGAGAAGGGCAGTGGGTGTGGGGAGCATGGGAGGTAGCCGATTTGCAGGCCGTGGAGGAGGTAGAGTCGGATGTAGTGCGCGTGTCGGGTCAGGAGGGTGTAGATGGTTTGGTTGGTGAAGGCGTGGTAGAGGGAGTGGGGATCGCGGAAGGCGAAGATGTAGGAGGTTGGGTTGGTGATTATGTTGGCGGGGTCGATTGTGGTTGTTGTGGGTTGCGAGTTGTTGGATAGGATGCAGATTGGGTGGTTGTTGGCGGCGTCGATGTGCAGGAGGACTTCGGTTTGGTGGTGCTGGTCTTGAAATTGGGCTTGGGGTGGGTAGGGGATGAGGTGGATTTCGGGTCCGGGTTGGATTTGGGGTTGGGGTTGGGGTTGAGTTTGAGGTTGGATTTGGGTTTGGACTTGGTGATTGTTGTTTATAGTTTGATTCATGGGCTGTGCCAGTGTTTGGTTCATGGTTGGATTGTGTGGTTCCATTTTGTGTATGGTTGTTCTTATAGTAGTAAGGGTTGGATGGTAGAGGACCGAGATTGTTGAGATTGATGTAGTGCTTGTATGTATGAGGAGTAAAGGACGACGACGAAGACGAAGAGAAGAACGGAGGGAGAAGATGCAATGGAGAAGACAAAAAGGCTCATCCTGTATAGTTTTGTATATACTTAACCTAACACATCTTGCTGCCATATAGGGCATTCTGTTTATAGCCGTGAATGAGCTTTTATGCTCCAATCGCCCGGGTGTCAATCGTTCCGATGCATCATGATGCAATTACTGAGGCACAGTGAAGAGATTCACTCCGGCGCAGTTGTTCATAACACCAGACTGCATATTGGTGGCGGGTTGAGCAGGTTTGAAGCTGCTATATGGAAATAAATAACTGACCCAGTTATACTAGCTACCGCTAGTGTGCAAATGGCGCTAAGGATCAGAGTGGTGAATTGATGAGCGTTAGGGCTAGGACACTACTGTACGTACGCGTTTCTAGAATGTATGAAAAATTAGCAGATAGTTAGATTAGTATTGCTCATATTGATATAAGTAACGTCATTCTCAAAGCATGTTATTGCCTCAACACACTAGTCTTCTCACATAAGTCATCCACCCATTACCCAAGTTAGACCACCCATAAACAATGTAACAATCACAACCAGACACAATCTAAGTCTCAATAGCCTTAGCCCTCAGCCCAACAACCAATCCCTCTGTCCCATCCAGCGCCAGAACAAAGTACTCCACTCTCGACCTGGCCACCTCAACCCGATAGACCTTGACAGCCGCGCCCTCCTCATCCCCCACGGCAGCCCGGACTGCCCTCACCACCCCGGCATACTGATTCTTCGGGTCGAACGTTGAGAATGTCAATGTCTCAATGGAGTTGGAGAGGTCCGCGTCGGGAGAAACAAGGTTGGAGAGAGCAGCTGTTATCACATTTACATTAGCTTATGGTCGACCCAATTAACTCAAGACAGGCAACTCACCTGCATCAGGCCAGATCCCCCGCTCCGCATCGGGCCACTTCAAAGCAACAGGTTCGAATGGCTCATCGGTTTCGGAGACGTAGAAGGCATCGACAGAGGTGAGGGGCGTGGGGACGCGGACATTGGTGTGGATGGTTTGGATGCGTGGGGTGGAAGAAGTGTTGTCTCGTTGGGGCTGGAATTGGCTGGCATTGAGGTCTGCGTTGGCCTTGTTCAGGAAGGACATGTAGTCGTTGTCGGAGGACATGGTGCGAGTGTGAGGAGGGGTGATGATGGTGGTGTTGGATGCTGGTTTTGGGGTTGTGGAGAAAATGTAGGGACTGCGTTGGATATGGGTTCGAGATGAATATTGATGGCAGCGGTGCTGGTGATATGATCGAGTAATCTGGGCAGATTGCTGGAGCTGAAATAGTGAGGGGCGAGCAGAAGATGAGGAAATTGAAGCCCAAGGCACAAGGGGATCAATGACGCAATGGCCAGTGCGGCTGAGCGGCCAGCGGCGCAGACTTGCGGCGGTCATCTGATTGGTGCTGAGATGGGCGACAGAGGGAATGAATGAATGGATAGCTTCTAGAAGGATAGAGTGGGACAGGCTCAGATAAGCAGCCAGTGAAGAGGTCGAAGGATGGATAAGTGTTGGCAGAGCCCCTGATCTTGGTTGTCTTGAACGGGATATGGCGACCCGATCGAGGAAAATTTGCATCGGAGTCTACGCACACACCATGCCTTGCCTAGTAGGCAGAAACCTCTCATGAAGATTTTTCTTCTGAGGTCTCTATACTGCGGTGGTCTAGGCAAATAAACAGTTAAATCCAACACATTATTATTGCTACGTAAACTACCGTGACACCATAGGAAAAAGTGAAAGGTATTCTTCGCTTTTATTGAAACGTAATATAATTTGCACTACACCGAACCATTGCCATAAACACCTTAAGCGGAAGTCTCCAGGTCCTTCTTGAGGGTACCCATGAAGGCGCGCTTCTCCTCGGGGGTCTGGAAAGCACCGTGACCGAACTTGGAGGAGGTATCGATCCACTTGAGCTCGATCTTCTCGGTGGCCCTGCGGCTGGTCTGGGGGTACAGGGTCTTGCGGAGGGTCATGACACGCTTCTTAACACCGGGGACGGAACCCTTAAGGAGAACGAAGTCGTTCTTGACCTCACCGTAGTGAACGAAGCCACCCATGCTAGATTGTGTTGTTAGCGTCAATGCTTCTCAACCTTCAGGTAGAGGCTACTTACGGGGTGATCTGCTTCTTGGAGATGTCGAACTCGGTAGAGGCGTTACCCTCGTCGGAACCCTTGCCAACACGGAAGACCTTGTGGTTGCAAGAGGTACGGTGGTGGTAACCCATCTGACCAGCACGGGCAACAGTCCACTGGACGTGGTTAGGGTGCCAGGCACCGATACAAGCGACCTTACGCAGACCCTTGTGAGTCTTACGGGGAAGCTTCTTGGTGCCCCAACGGCTGGTGACACCCTGGAAACCGTGACCCTTGGTGACGGCGATGACATCGATCATCTCGTCCTTCTCGAAGATGGAGTCGATCTCGATGGGCTTCTCGAACAGGTTGCGGGCGAAGTCAACCTTGTCGGCAACGGAGCCACCGTTGACCTGGATCTCCATCAAGTGGGCCTTCTTCTGCTTGAGGGGAGTCTTGCGGACTTGAGTGTGGGCGAGGACACGGACGACAGTGCAGTACTTCTTGATGCGCTCGAGCTCGCGGGTGATGGAAGCACCGTTCTCCTCGGCGTGCTTCTTGGCGTACTTGGTGAAAGCCTTCTTCTTGCTCTTGTACCAGTTCTTGTAGAAGCGGCGCTTGACCTCGTCGCTCAGGTGCTCAGCCCAGACGGTGGTGAGAGAGCGGAGACCACGGGGAGTCTCAATGTAACCGACAACACCGACAGCGACAAGCTAAAAAATCAAAGTATGTCAGTCATTGAACGGATCCACATCACCAGGCCAGAAGGAAAAAGATTTTTCCTTCTGCCTTCTTCCTACCAAGGGGTCCAACGTACGGGAGGAGTCTCGATGACGGTAGCAGCCTCGACAACTTCCTTCTTGTGCATCTTGGCACCAGGACGGTCAAGGTCACGGACGACGGTGGTCATACCGGCCTTGTAGCCCATGGTGGCCGTCAGGTGGACGGGCTTCTTGGGGTCATCCTTGGGGAAGCTGCCGAACAGTTCAGTATATGTCCATCAAATCCCAACTTTTTCGTCTCGTCTTCGTAGTCGAAAAAACTAACCTCTTGACCTTTCCGCGGTGGCGGGCGGCGCGCTTGCGGGGCAGGTAGGCAAGAGAGCCTGTCGAAATCCAAGTCAGTATATCATCCACACACAAGACCTCGAGATTCCAATATCGCTTGAGAGGTCGCAAAGTAGGTTGACGAACCGTGCCGAGGCGCTTCGTACTTCCGGTGACTCCTGTATAATAAAATGAATCAGCGACATTATCCCTCGAGGTCAACAATTGCCATAATGCGGCAGGTCCTAACTTACATCTTGACCCTGTTGTCGTTAGTCGTCGAAGTGGTGAGTGAGAGTGTCTATCTCTGAGTTTGCCGAAAGTCGTATTTTGCACGCTTAACGAATGTGGGCTGATCTAAGCGAATTCTTGGCGGCTATTTCCCATTCGGGTTAAGCGACAACGGGACCGAGACCTGAGTTCCTTTCTGCCTCAGGCAGTCACAACCCACGGTCACGAGGTTCCTGCTGTCGGGCGAATCTCCCGGTCGGCAATATTACCAGATCCAGTGCCCTCCTCCAAGTGTCTGCGCCATTGCCCTACTTAGGGTATTCTGCTGCGTGCCCATCCACAATGTTGGAAAGGCCATCCATGCACACTATATACACTATGTTTATGCAGGAATCTACTGCTGACTACGTTGGCCAACGAAACACGGCAGGCTGCAAGGCTGTACGATCACTGACCGAAAACCGTTTGACCTGGATTTGACCCGACACCCACCGGAGTCCCAGACCCAGAATTAAACGCCCCCGTAAGGACCGTCCCCACGATTGAAACGCACGGTGAGACTTGGCGCTTAGTAGCCTCCGTAGATGCTCGCCGCGCCCATTACCAACTTTCTGGTCTGGCTGATCTCCCAGTCTCATTACAATCTACCTGTTTCAATTACCCTTATCGTTGCCATACGTGCGAGATAAATTATCATCGTCAGAAATGGAGTAGAATGTAGATCAATGTATTGGGGTTTCCGAGCTGCCCAGGTGAGTATATCACCTAGCAGGAAGTACTCATTCACAGACACGCACACAGAATTGAATAGAACTTGGGAAACAAATGACCATCAAGACCGCCCCTCAAATGCCAATCCTACAATACAAACAAGCCTGGGTGGTAAAACAGTACATGAACGGAACTGCCACCGAAAGTCGGAAAAGAAATATATAGACGAATTCAAGGAAACAGAAGGGGAGCAAACGAGGGCAGTGTAACTTCTCATGACGAAAACTTTCATTCGGACTCTTCTTTCCTTAGAGCCGCGTTAAACCCATCGATCCACCTCACATAATACATCAAGTGGTGCCGCACCACAAGCTTCTAAACCGCAGATTCCGGCTTCGCCGGCGTAGGTGGGTTGCCAGCACTCAGAACACCATTGCTGCCGTTGTTGCTCGACCCAGCAGCATGCGGGCTTCCCTTCACCACAGCACTAGCTCGTTTCTCATCATCGTCATCATCGTAGTTTTCATCCACGTCCATCTTCCGCGCCGCAGGCTCATGTGCAGGCGCCTGTTCGCCGCGCGCGGGCTCCTCCTTCACCTGAACCTGAGCGGAAGAGGGTCCGGATGGCGGTCCGTTAGAAGGCGCAGCAGAGCTTTCGGCCATAGGAGGGAGGCTGGGGCCACCAGACGGGTGAGGGGGCATGTGCTGGATAGAAGGCAACGTAGGAGGATGGTGGGCCGCCTCAGACGGATGGTAGTTCTCGTTGACGCGGCGCTGGTCCTCACGGCGGATTTCCGAAGAACTGCGTCGCTGCATCTCCCCGGGGGAGGGCATACGGTTGGGGGGAGTGACACGACGAGACAGCTGATCATCGAGGCGAGCACGGCTCTCTTCATTGGCGATCTTCTTGGCCGGTCCGGCTTCCGCCTCCC